CACAGTGGCGCACAGGTGCCTGGAGCTGCTGCCACAGGCAAAGGGAAGAGAAGAGCTTGAGAGCTGGTGAAAGCACCTCCCCACAGGGATCACTCCATGCTGGGTCAACAGCTTCGCACCCACCAGACACACATGCTGTCACTCGGCACCATTGCCACTGACCTGTAACCCTCGAAGCAGCAGTGGGAGACTTTCTGCCAGGCTTGCTGCAAGGCCGGCAGGATGCCAGAGGAATGGAGCAGGTGAGCAGAAGAGGAGGCTGGAGGAGACAAGAGATATTCTCTCAGCAACCCTTCAGCCTGGAGCTGTGTGTGTCTGCCCCCAGGGCCTCTCTCTGGGGACACACAACTTCAGCTACTCTGCAAAAGGTCTCAAGATGCTCCGAGATAGGATGAAGAGGGGCAGAAACTCCCAACTAGAGAAAAAACATGTCTCAGAGCAGCCCCAGGAGAAACCCTCCTGAGAGGGGACAGGCAGAGGGATCTAGCTCTACAGCCTGACAAGAATGTCTGGCCCAACACAGCCCACATCATTCAAAGACAGCAACACGGCCACATGGCTCAAGAGCAGCCAGCAGCACAGATATGGGATGATGATCAGGCTGTGGAGGGGCTTCACTCAGGAGAACGTTCAAGTTTTGTTCCCCAGGGACACTCCTCCACATGGAGCAGAGCCACAGCCTTACCCTGGAAGGAGCCGTGCGTCTGGACATCATGCAGGAGGAAACCAGCCGCGAAGACCAGGAGGACAAGCAGCAGCCGTGACCAGGGGAAGCCCCGGCCCTTCATCTTACGCAGCAGCTCCTGGGCAGGGGGAGGATGAGACCCCATCACCACGCAGCTCTTAAGGCCAGAGAGGCTCTTGTGCAGCCACACTTCCCTCCAGCAGCAGACTGCCACGCTTACCACTGCTCTCACTACCCACCCCTGGCTTCCCAGTGGAAACCAGTGTTATCTGCTGAGCAGCTGGGAGGATGGACCAGGGCCAGCACCATCTGTCCCTGCCGTGTCCTGTGTATGCACTGCTGCGGGGGCCCTGGCCTGGCACGTGCTGGCGGCAGGTAAGGCCAACCACAACCACAGCATGGAGCTGAAATCCAGCCTCTGGCTGATACCAATCCCATCCCACCCCTCACCTTGCAGGCAGCATCGCAGATGGCCACGTCCTGGTCACTGCTAGCCCCTCTCGCCGCCAGCTCCTCATTTGTTACTTTGAACGAGCGAACTGTCTCCTGCAGTGACTGTCGCACCTTGGGGAGAGCAAGAGCTGCATCACGGCCCCATGCACACCAAGCCGGCAGCACCACAGGGGCTGCAGCTGTGCTGTTCCTCTGGGGATGCTGAGCTGCAGCTGGCATGACCTTCCTGCTCCTCACAGCACCAGAACAGCGAGGCCTAACAGGGCTGTATCCAGAATATCTGAACCCAGACAGCAAGTGGAGGGAAAGGGGCAATAAACACCTGCCCGTGGATGGCACATCACCTTGCCCCTGGAGCAAGTGCTGGCTCTCAAGCCTGGTGGGCACATGCCCCTAAACCAGCCAACCCACTGAGCTGCTGGAGCAGTGTTGAGTGGGCACACACAACTCCCATGGGGATGCTGCTCGTGCAGGGACCTCCTGCAGCAGCACAGGCACGTTCTCTCCCCACCCCAGGCAACTCCTCTGTCACACAGCTCACTCCTACCTTCTTGCTGCTGCTGTCCCAGGACTCCAGCAGATGGTTCAGAAGCAAACTATGGTGGGAAAGAGAACCAAGGGCTCACTCAGGAGCATTGAGAAGCAATTTCATATGCTCCTCAATGCCAGAAGGTTGTTGCTGGCCCTGCTCAGAGCATGAACAGACCTGGACTGGGAGAGGTGTTTGGTGTACAGCTGCCTCCAAACACTGAAGCTCAGGGGGTCCAGGCTCAGACACTGGCTCATGGAGATCAGGAGCTGGGAAGAGCACAGTAGGTTTTTCCACCTGATCCAGGACACACATAACTTGGTCCACCACGTCTGGCACACTACCGCAGGCTGTACACCAGCACAGCTGACCGCCCCCAAAGCTGCTGGCTCACTGCTCTCATCCCAGACAGCCCCTGGGGCACTGAACCACTCATGGATCTGACATTCCCAGCTGCTGGCTGCAGGCAGCCAGAACCCTGGACTGCCATCACTGTCCTTGCCTTGTGCCCGGCTCCACAGACCCTGCCCAAGCCTCCCTTCCTAGGTGGCTGTGACATGCAGCGACTGGGGGTCCAGTGGTGCACCCCTACTCAGGGCTCTCACCTCTTTTTTCATGCTAGGAGGGCAGCTCAGTGTAGCTCGTGAGAGGAAGGAGGGGAAGTAGGTGTGCAGTGCCGTCTCCGGCTTCGCACCAAATGCTAGCACCTTCAGGCGAGGGTAGAGCCGCCGCAGCTGCTCCTGCAGGCTGAGGGGAGAGGACACTGTGGCTGTGGAGACCCGGGTCTTCACCCCACGGTGCAGCCTTGCAGGCAGCACAGCCCACGTTGCTGTGCACTGAGGGGGAAACAGCATACCTGAGTGGCAGTGAGTTGTTGGGCATGAAGGCAAAGTCCAGGAGGGGGAAGAAATCTTTCGGTCCAATCATACCAAAGCCTTTAGTCAGATTTGGGTGCATCCTGTACAGTAGAAACAAACCCCATGACATGTGATGTACATGTCAGGGCCAAATGCAGCCTGCAAGGGAAGCGCTGCCCTCACCAAACCCCAGCCGTTCTCTGCAGCAGGACACATCACTCGAGTACACCCACATGGTTTCTGGCCACTGCTGTCATCTGCCTTTACTGCCACTCAGGGACACCCTGTCCAGCCAGCGCCAGGTGCCAGATCCAGGGCTTCATGTGGCCTTTCCCCACCCTGAGAGGCTGCAGGCGAGGGAGGTCTGGCAAGCTGGCAACTGGGATTGCCCATTAATGAAATGCAGGCAGAGAAGAGAAACCAGATTATAAAAAACTAATTAAATAAAGGTTCAGAAAGATTGGGATGAGCTGTGAAGTTTGGCACAATGCATTTCCATAAAGTTCTCCAGCAAAACCAAACACAACATTCTTGGTACAGTGAAGCAGAAGAAAAACCCAAAACCTTAAATAAAACCTCTTGAGCCATTTGGAAGGGAAGGGAATAACCCCTTGGTGCTGCTCCACCCCTGTCCCATTTCCACACCAGCTATTTGCACTGTGGACTTTCTTCCACTGTGGGTGCTGGAGCTGCCAGCTGTCCTCACCTGCAGAAAGGCCAGTGGAGCCATCTGTCGTGACCCTCCAGCAAGCATCACCTCCCTTCTCCTCACAGGGAAAAGGAAGTCTGCCTGCAGTGGCGGATGCTGCTGACACCTCTCACTGCATCAGGGAGCCCCAGTGTGCCTGTGCTCTGCAGTAGTTGGTGGCAATGGGGCACAGACACCACCTGCACTCAGAGTGGGAGCTCCTGGGGGCAGGCAGTGAGGCATGCAGGCACTGGAGAAGCCTGTTCCTGGTACAGGGTGCCCTGAGCTGGAGCCATGGGGCAGCCGAGCCGCTTGTCTGCCTTAGGGGGTGACCTGAGGCAGCCAGGGAAGGACTCTGTTCCCCCTCCACCACCTCATTTTAGGAAAGGCACCAGCAGCAGCAAAGAAGAAACCTGTGTGCTGGCATTTCTTTAGAGCCTCTGCAGAACCAGCAGCCACCAAGGTGCCCAACACCATCAGGAGTCACTATGAAGGCCGCTTGCCCAACACAGTGGGCAGCCACGAGAGACAACCGACCTGCATGGCCAGCCCACCCCAGCATATGCACACCCATTCACTCGCACTCTACCACATGCACACTCAGGTTTCTTCCACCAGCACGATGCAGACAGAGTCACACTGTACCCAGCAGCCCACATGCATGTTTGTTTCTCTTAACAAAGACACCCCCAATACTGAAAGTGAGGTGTAACTCACATCAGCAGACGGTCCAGGTAGGATACGGCATATGGGGAGAGAGACTTGATCCCCAGCACTGGGAGCATGACACCAAGCCACACTGTGGGAGAGAGGCAGCAGTCAGATTGGGGCGCAGGAGGGCTCCTGCCATGGCTTCAGTGACACCGAGCACTCCCCTGGTCCATAAGCAGCAACCAAACTGAAAGGAACACTCAGATGTCAGGACTGCAGCTGTGTTTGAACCCAGGACAAACCACCCCTCCGACTTCCCCACTCAAAACACCTGGCAGATGACTAGACAGGCAGACAGATCCCTTGGGAAGGGCTCCAGGGCAACTGCACTGTCTCGCCTGCTCTGCTCACAGAGGAATGGCACAGCAGAACACTTCCTGCCTTGCCAGGCTCCTCCTGGGATCCAGTGTCTTCCCAGTCCTGGCTGGGGAAAGATGCTCTCCAGAGACAAGGTGCAGGTTTTGTCCATAAGGTCAGTTTCTGTCACCACAGAGTAGCCACCAAGGCTTGGCACGAGATCTGAGCTTGCCCTTCTGTAAGCAATGCTCTCCTTGTGACATCTCCAGCCTCCCTGAAAATAATTAACCACTTCATGCAGCTCTACAATATCACTACGCTCAGCACCGAGTGCTTATGCCTCTATAAATGCTCTTCAGCACCAGTCACTCCCCTCTGTGGTGGTGACCCGCCTCTAACACATGTGGGTAAGGACCAAAGCCACGCACAGGGTGTAATGAACAGTTGGTACCATCAAGCAGTGTCACATATGACACACCATACAGTAAACCCCAACCCAGTCCCTGCAGTGTGGGGGACACCACTGCTCGTGGACTTGGTGATATAAGGGTCTTTTCCAACCTAAATGATTCCATGATTCTGCTCCCAAACAAGCATCTGGATCTGCCTGCATCAGGAGGCAGCTGCAGTGGCTGCAGGCCCCTCTCCAGCACTTCAATGTTTTGAAGTGGACCCCACAACTGAGCAGTAACATCAGTGGGAGCAGAGATATGTGAGCAGTATAGGGGATGCCCTGGCTTTCATCCTGCTTCCTAAGAGGGGAAGCCCTTGGGGGGATGAGTGCCAAGGGCTCTCACCTTTCAGCCCCTCATGGAGATCCGCGAATCCAGCCTGTCCCAGTGCCCAGAGCACAGTGAGGCATTTTGCTGGCTTGTTCTGGTGGGATCGCAACACCTCCAGGTACTGGGGTGAAGATAAGACACGTTAGTCAGGAAGAGCCTCAGCCTGTCCCACCCCAATGCCACTGCAAATGCGCCTGCAGCCACATTGCTGGTGGAGCTGTCAGTGCCACAGGACCAGAGCAACTACACTAGGCCTTGGGCTGTGCAGCCTGGTGAGAAGCAGCCCTTGGAGTGGGACAGGGCAGAGGTCACAGTCCCCCAAGAGGGACCCTCAGGTGAGGCCAGGAGCTGTGCCAGAACCCCAAACCCCAGTTCTGAGGGAGCAGAGCTGCCAGCAACATGCAGTGCTGGACAGCAGCCAAGCCACAGCCATCATCTACTCAGCTACTCGCTTTGAAGGAGCGGGACCTCAGAGACCCTCATTCCTGTCCCACAGCTCCCCAGCTGTGCCCCGCTCCTCCAAGAGTGGCAGAGTGGGAGCACCGGCTTTGGACAAAGTCTTTCAAGAAAAGACAGAGCAAGACAATGGTGTTTACAGCAGCTCCAGCACATGAGAAGGAGGGAAGGTGCTGGAGATACTGGTTCACTGCACATGGGATATGAGCAGAGGGAGGAAAGGGCTTTGTGTGTGGGCAAACCCTGACAGTTCCCAAAGGAATTCCAATTAATGGGAATGGATACCCATCATCTGGTCGCTCCAGGGGATCCTGGGGTGGGAGGCGGAGCAGCACCACCAGGCATCCAGCTCACCTTGCCCAGGTTAGTCGTGGCGATCTTGGGCCTGTCCAGAAGCACAGCCTGGATGCAGATCCTGTACCCGTGCAAAGACTCCCCTGAAAAAGAGCATGGGAGGGCCCTCCTCAACCACAGCACTTTGAGTGCCTCCTCCCACTGTGATGCCCCCGGAACATGGTGGGGGACACCCCTCTGCACAGACCTGCCCTGCTCCCTGGCTAATGAACTCCAGACACAAGCCTCACCACAGCACCATGAGTTCTGCTCCCCACTCACCCTCTGCTGAGGATTCCCCCAGGGTTCCAACCTGCAGGGGAAGGACAGACCCCACTGACGATTGGAAACTGATCAGTAGCTTCCTAAACCTGCCGAGACCCAGCTCTGCCCTCCAAAGCAGCAGCAGCAGGCACAGTAACCAGCCCTATCACAGCCCCAAGTCTGGCCCCTTCTGAGGGCTTGTTTCCTCCTTGTTCATGCTCAAGAGAGGGAGGGTTCAGCAACCCCCCTGGTTCTCAGGTGCTGTGGGGCTGACGCAAGTGCAGCAGCAGAGGCCAGTGCAGCCACAGCAGACGGTGGATCCCCTCAGTCCTTCCCCTTGCAGCCTGACCCTGAGGCAGCTCTGCTAAAAGCCAAGCACCTGTCCAAATTACACACAGATGCAACTGTCATTTTGATCACTCAGGTGGGTTTTGAGATGGAAACAAACCTGTGTGGAATGGCTGGTGGCCTCATGTGCAGAGCTGAGGCCTGGGAACAGGCAATACTTGGGTGATAAAGCCTCTGGCAGCCAACGGCGTGGTGGGGATGTATGGAAATGGGAGTTTAGGATTTGCGTCTGACACTGCAGGACATTGCTGTCATTCAGGAACCTGCTTCTGACTACCAGCGCTGCTGGACATCTGTATGCTCTGTGCTCAGAGGGCAGCAACAGCTGCCTGCTCCCACACAGCAGCTTGGATGGGACCCGTCACTTTACAGGAGACACCCTTAACTGCAGCACAGTGACACAACAGCTTGTGCCAAAAGCCTAAAGGCCTTGTTTTAAAAGCTGCAGCAATGCACACCACAACGTGAAAGCCCTCAGAAAGGCACCTTCCACCACACAGCCATCAGTCTGCAATTCAATCCACAACACCATGCCAGGCTCGTATCTTATCCCCTCCTCCAGCTCCTCCAGCCCAAAACTCCACAGCCCCAGCAGCATTGAACACCATAGCACTGAGCAGCCTGGGCAGGAACTGCTCCTCACTGCACACAAGATGCACAGAAGGAGTTTCCCACCTCACCTTCTCCACAGAAGAGCTATTACAACAGGCGCCAAGAAACAGTGTCATTCCTGAGGTCAGGAAACCCCAGCCCCAGACGGCCACACTAACGGAGCACCATGAGTGCATCAGTGCCCCGGACCTGCACCAACCACATCTTACCTGGGGTTTTGTCCAGCTCCTGCAGCATGGTGTAAATGCAGTGGTCAAAGAAGAGCTCCAGCACACTGGATGACTGTCCCAGCAGGGATCTGATGATGTTCCTCAGGTCCTTGCTCACAAGGCAGTATGGATAGTCTGAAGCCAACACAAGAGCATGAAGAGTTTAGCTAGAGCCATTTCATGAGACTTTTAGCTACAGCTGCAGGAGAAGCTGGCCCAGTGTGTGAAGAGGTCACAAAGAAGCTTCTTGTCCTCCTACACAGTCAAGAAGTGATTTCTTCGTGTTATTCTACGTTAGACACATTCCCACTCAGCACTTGTCAGGCCACCCCTAAAATACTGTGTTTAGTTTTGGTCCCCACTCTACAACAGAGATATCTGGAGAGGGTTCAGAAAAGGGCCACAAAGATGATCCAAAGATTGGGCAGGCATGTAAGGAAACGCTGAGAGAGCTGGGCTTGTTCAACCTGCAAAAAAAGAAAAACTCTGGGGAAGCATTAGAACAGCATCTTCCAGTGCCTAAAGGGGATGACAAGAAAGCTAGAGAGAGACTTTTGACAACGGCCTATAGGGACAGGACAAGGGGGAATGGCTTTAACCTGACAGAGGGGAGATTTAGATGAGATCTTAGGAAGAAGTTGTTCCCTGTGATGGTGGTGAGGCCCTGGCACAGGCTTCCCAGAGAAGCTGTGCCCGCCCCATCCCCAGCAGTGTTCAACGCCAGGTTGGACAGGGCTTGGAGGACCCTGATCTAGTGGAAGGGGTCCCTGCCTGTGGCAGGGATTTGGAACTAGATGAGCTTCAAGGTCCCTTCCAACCCAAACCATCCCATGATATCACAAAATCAAGCAAATAATCCCCATTTCATCTGTTGAGTAAAGGACATTGTTTCATGCCTTTCCTACTCCCAAATCCTTGCTGTGGGGCAGGTTCATGCACTGACCGTGGGGGTGCTGGCTGAGCATGGGGTCACTCCGGGGTGCCTGCAGCTTGTAGTTGAGGTAGCTGGCCAGGTCCTTCACCCAGACAGAGGGGTTCTCGGGGAAGACGCTCTGGCTTTTAGCCAGCTCCTTCTGCAGGTCCGCCAAGTCGAGCTGGAAATGACAGAGAGCCAAATTCAACACAGGATGCACAGAACTGAGCACAAAGCATGGGGAGAAGAAAGTTAATTTCAGGTCTAAAGGGGCTGCTGAGCACGGAGGAAAATGCTCCCCACATTCATCCCAAGAATGCTGCACTTCCCATGTAGAAAACCCCATCTGCCTGCCCCCAGTCCATGTCCTATTAATGCAAGTGGGAGCACTGGGCTGGAAACAGCATTTCACTTAGTACTGGAAATACATTTTCTTCAGATTAGCAAAGGCTGCTACCAAGGAATAACACAACCCGTGTGGGGAACTGCAGGCAGCCAGTGCTGAAAGGGCTGTGGAAAGACAGTGGAGAGGTCAGAAGGAGGGGCACAACACAGGAATGAGCTCCTCTCCCTCCTCAGAGCCACCCCAGTACATGCTGAGGCTTTCCTTGTTCTGCATTCCACCTTCCCACTGGCTTTACCACCCTGTGGTGAGCATCGCCTGGGAGAAGCCAGTTCCATGCAAACTGCCCAGGAGCACACTGGCACCGTCAGAAGCTGGTTCACAGTGGGAGGCAGCTCAAGGCTGCAGCTCCATGAGGCTCAGCCCCATGTTATCCCAGTGCAGGTGGTTTATGTCAGCACCATTGGCAACTCTGCATCCAGAGTCCTAGAGGGAGCAAACAGCCAGGGTCAGACCCTCATGATTAACAACCTGCCATGGACAAGCCACAGCTACAGACAGGGGCTCACAGCTCCTCACTTTCCTCCTCCTGCACTGTCCCTCATGGAGCACACATATTGCCTACTTCTAAATTCAGATTAGCTGCAAGCTCACAGGGACAGACGGCATGTCCCTGCTTTAGGGAGTTCAGGAGGTGCAGCACGACTCAGATGTTCGAGGTTTCACAGTCCAAGATTTCCATACATAGGGGATTTCAGCTGTGGTGCACCATTAAATCTGAGTTGGGCTCCTTTTGCTGTGGGTTTATTTCAGCAAGCATTTTGAAAAGAGGAGTGAAAAAACCCAGCTGCTGCTACACAATAAAAAGCCAAATGATGCTGTCAGCATAGCTCATAGAACAACAGTCACACAATAACTGCTGAGCTGTGCAGAGCAGTTACAGAGCAGCCACGCTTTGGCCCAGGCCACTTTCCCTGAGGAACATCTGCCACCACACACAGAGAAATAACAGACATTAATTCTCCATGTGCAAAAGCTGAATGTGGAGAATGGCTCGGGCTCAGTGCAGCAGAGGAACTCCCACCCCTGCAGCAGGGGAGATCAAGGTGCTTCAGGCACAAGCAAGAGATGAGGAGCGGAGGGGATGACCATGGTGGCAGAGCTCTCCCTGCCAGGCAGCTGCTTTCCCAGCAGAGACATTGCCTCTCCAGAGTCTGTTTGGGTTTCCTTCTTAAAACCCCTCCCTGCTAAGCCACCACAGAACAGGTGGGATGAAGAGAAACTAGTTCTACAGATTCCTCTGAGAAGCAGGAGAAGAAAAGGCTCCCTAGGACCTCAGCAGGTAGGACAAGGAGGATGTTTTCTCAGAATTCCTCCCAGACAGCAGACAGGGAGTGGGTGAAGGAAGAAACCAGAAATTCCTTTCCAGCCACCTCCCGTCCTTCTGTCTCCTGCCTACGGCAAAAGCGCAACTTCAAGCACGAGACAGATCTGCAGGACCAGCCTGGTGCTTGCCAAAGCACCGAGCACCACCTGCTCTGCCCTCCCAGCAAACATGACAACCCTGGGATGTAGCTGGCAGCACTGATCCCCTCTGCACGTGTTCACCAGCAGAGGGGTCTCCCAGAATAGAGGGGGTGTGAACCAAAGCAGAGCACCGCTCTCCTCGTGCCAGATTTAACAACACCCCAAGCACCAGGGTTTTGTTCCCAAAGCAGTGATTGCTGGAACACTGGCCGGCCTCAGGCAGGAAACAACGAAACCCGGAGCTTCAGCTCTCCTATGCCAAGATGGGTAAGGTGCCCAGGGGTGCAGCCTGGCCAGGAACACTCACAGCTCTCAGGGCTTCCTCCAGCGAGCGGCATTTGCCTGGTTTGACTGCAGCATCATTCACTGATGGCTTCTTAGCGCTCTTCCCTGCATGCTGCCTCCGGTGCTGCTGCTCAGGTGCTGAAGCAGGAGGGACCTGCTCCTTGTTCTGCTTCTTCAGTGCCCGCTCAAAGCCCAGCTCGAAGATGGTGTTGGTTGTGGCAATGGGTGCTGGAAAG